CGTTCGTTTTAACCCATAATTTGATATTTTGCAGATAAGTTTGAAATGTTCTTTAATATGATTGATTTGCGACAGTTTTAGTGGCTATATCATGTGTGATCTGCAGCAAATAATACGCAGTTTGACCCCCCAAAGCAGTGCATCAGTGTGCGGGAGTGCGTCTCCGAATAGTTCCTGGGTGCTCGCCGGAGACGTCTCCGAATATCTTCTGCCCTGATTTACTGCCCTGTCAGTAGAATCTCCAACTTTATAACAGGGTTTTCAGATCGGCGTCTCTGGTAAAGTAGTTACTTGGGGGTTTTTTTAGTCCTCGCACGCAGAAGACCTGAGTTTGATTCTCGGACGGGGACGTTTTTTCATCGAGTGTTTTTGTCTGTTTGCAAGCATAAGACTGTGAGGGGTTGGCGGGTGCTCTGATGTGGTTTGCGTCTTCTTTCCTATCAAACATCTATCGCCCTTTTCTCCCCTCCTTCTTTTTTTTTGTTTTGAGTTACTCTCTTGTAACACCTCTAAATCCTCTGGCGCTCATATGACCTTACGCAATTGCGAGCGTTGTAAAACCTCTACTAAAACTAAAACAAAGAATCTCCAACTTTATAACACGGTGTTCAGATCGGCATCTCTGGTAAAGGAGTTACTTGGGTTGTTTTGAGGGGGTTTTTTTGTCATCGCACGCAGAAGACCTGAGTTCGATTCTCGGACGGGGACTTTAGTTCATCGAGTGTTTCTGTCTGTTTGCGATCATTATAAGACTTCTTTAATTTCCATCTGTTGTTTCTGCTGTTTTTTCTTACTTTTTCCCCAGCACTAAATGACCATTAGTTAGTTTAGCAGAGGTTTTACGGCGCACGCAACTGCATCCGGTCATATGAGCGCCAGAAGATTAGAGGTGTTACAAGAGAGTAACAAACATAAAAAAGAAGGGGGAATAAAGACGATAGATATTTGATAGGAAGGAAGAAGCAAACCACTCCAGAGCACCCGCCAGCCACCCACTAAATATGCATTATTGTGTCGATGTGCTTCTCTCTCTTTACTCAAACTCAGCCCGGGTTGGTCCTGATGGGCGGGATCAAGACCATTTTCCTCTTGGGTGATCAGAACTGTGTCAACAGGGGTGTAAAAAAAAAGTCACAGTTCCCTAATGTTCCATGGGTTTATAAGACGAGAAAACGCAGTCAAAATGTGGTGAGGGTTTTTTTCCTTTTTTTTCCTTTGTCGTTTTTGTTGTTGTTGTTTCTTTG